GAGACCTGTAGAGCAGTCAGCAAAATCCCACATGCTATGGAGGTGCTAATTCTACTGTAATAGTGGTTCTGCTTGCTGCCGTCTGTCCTTGTACCATAAACTTGTTCAAAAACCAAAATTAAGTACGGGGCTGTTTCGATATATGGTTTCTGCCAAGATGTTTTCAGTTGCTTTAAATCGTTGACCCATTGCACACCCATTCTCTTCTGGTAGTTTAGATGTTCCTCATCTTCAACGATCTGTCTTATAAGTGACTTGATATCTTTATCCTGAATGACAACAAACATCCATGGCTGTAAGTGTGCACCACTGGGAGACGTGCCTACAATGAACAGAATCATATGCAACATGTTGAATTGAACACATTTTTTTTTCTCTAATTTAATTTTCCCATTGGCTGCAAGTTTATTTTGTGAAAGGAAACAAATTGTCATGAAATCATGATTATATTGTGATGGTGGTGTTTTATGGTGATAGGCAATGTTGTTTTTGGCGATAAAAAAGATGGTGAGATGTTTCTTCTAGTCAGTACTGGAAAAATGAATGTTCATATGTGACTAAATAATATGGATTTTCAATCTCTTAGGTATCACTAGTAACCCATTTAATAATATTGCATCATGGGAGTTTGGGATATTTTTACATATTCACTCATCACACGTGTAGTCATGTTAGAACAATGCACTGTGTATTTTCATACAAAATCTTGTATTGTCATTTATGGATTGTTTATCATAAGGATAAATGGCTAATTTTGGTCTACTGCAGTGAAGAAACTTGCCAGTGAGTCACTGACATTCCCAATAATTGTTTTAGAACTGGATGCATCTCTCCTAATTTACATTGCTGGCTACTGATGTTTTTCCTTCTACTAGTTGTGTATATTTGACATAATCACTAATTTAATAGTAGTGTATAAAATTGTGTGTGTAACATGCAATGTTTAAACTATACTTGTGTTATATGTGTTGTTTATTTGATACAATTTGAAACTAGTCAATCAGTGGGTGTTTTGTACAAACAACATTTATAATCATTTGGGTTTATACTGATAACACATAAACTTTCCACATTTTAAACTATATGCAAAATTAATGATACAATATGATCAATGGATATTATTAGAATTACAAGTATAATGTGCTTTGCAACAATGTGTGAAGCTTAACTAATAGTTTTCAAGGGAAATAAAATTGACCATAAATAAAACCACTGGATATGCAAAAACAATTCCAACACGAGAGCTCAAAACACAAACATGAAGTATTCCTATCAAAGAGCTCAGTAACTATTGTATCTTTAATAATGTTTTTTGATCAGAGATGCAACTTTTTAAAATGAATTTGAGCTACCTACTTATAGTGGAACACTCATAAGATATACAGATCAAGAATTATGTCAGCTGAAGATTCATATGAGGAATGCATTCATCAGTTTTGCATACACAACTTTTGACAATTATTTATACACCAAATTTGAAGTCAGTAGGAATTACAGCCATTACAAAATGTTGACAAAAAATAATACCTTTGTTTTCAAAATTTGATTACATTTGATCTACATGCAATCCATATTACTGTTAAAAAGATTCACATCTGTACTGATTTACTGCAGAAAATATTCTATCAAAGATCCTATCCATTTCCAATTTACTGCAGCAAAGATTAACTTCTTTCCTGAATTCCTGTAGCAAAAATTCACTCATTTCCAATTTTTGCAGCAAAGATTCACTTCTTCCCAAATTACTGCAAAAACAATTCTACTACTATCCCAAATTACTCCAGCACAAATTCATTTCAGTTCCAAAACTGCATTAGCGGCAATGTCGGTCAGGCGCCCACCCACTTTTGCACAATATTTATATTCGGGGTCACATTCGACAAAGTGCCCACCCCTTTAAAATGCCACTAAACTTGGTCTTTGATCATTGCTTAATGAATACTGGTAGTCGTTTTTATATTATATAGCGTGGATATCTACGTCTAGAATATGTTGTGAATGCGTAGACTATGGTAACAGTAAATAAACTACCTTCTACAAAAATTGCAAGTTACCAGTTTTTTGAACAAGCAGCCAGTCGGCTGAGATAGCTCCGCTGTTTCAATTAAAGAACAGAAGATATCATTAGAAAATGAACAATATGTATAGTATCCAAGCAATGCTGTTTTCAACAAGAAGTCAAAAATACCACTTTTCACCAACAATGGGCCATTCCAGTTTATATCCAGACGAGTATGGAAAAAATATTCCAGGAAATCCAGGCAGTTATGGCTACTAAATAAAATATGGCCTAGTTTATCTCGCCACATACTGATTGATGAGGTTGGATTTCCAACAGCATGACTAAAAAAACTTAGAATTCTGACTGTATATGGTTAAAACAAGCAGCCTGTCGGCTGTTAGCAATGCACATTTCAATTAAAGAACAGAAGATATCATTAGAAAATGAACAATATGTATAGTATCGAAGCAATGGGACTTGCTGTATTCAACAAGAATTCAAAAATATAATTTTTAACCATAAATGATTGTGGTTTTTAACAAGAAGAAAATATCACTTTTTACCAAAAATGACAAAAATATTCATCAAAATTAGAGAATTGAAGATATCATCATGAAATGAACAAATTTGAGAGTGGTCCACATGTAGTACCTATATATGTAATATCAAAGCAATTGGACTTGCGGCTTTTAACAAGAAGTTGAAAATATCACTTTTTACCAAAAATGACAAAAATATTCACCAAAATTAGAAAGTTAAAGATATCATCATGAAATGAACAAATTTGAGAGTGGTCCACATGTAGTACCTATATATGTAATATCAAAGCAATTGGACTTGTGGTTTTTAACAAGAAGCCGAAAATATCACTTTTTACTAAAAATGACAAAAATATTCACCAAAATTAGAAAATTAAAGATATCATTACAAAATGAACAAATCTGAGAGAGATTATGTAGTACCTATATATGTAATATCAAAGCAATTGGACTTGCGGTTTTTAACAAGAAGTCGAAAATATCACTTTTTACCAAAAATGACAAAAATATTCACCAAAATTAGAGAATTGAAGATATGATCATGAAATGAAGAAATCTGAGAGAGGTCTATCCAAGGTACATATTCACGAAGTATCAAAGCATTCAGACTTGTAGTTTTCAAGAAGAAGTAGAAAAAGTAAAACATTGACACGGACGCCGCTGGACAATCACTCATATGATAAGCTCCGCTCGACAAAGTTGACAGTGGAGCTAAACAAGCAGCCTCTCAGCTGAGATAGCTCCGCTGTTAGCAAGGCACGTTTCAATTAAAGAACTGAAGATATCATTAGAAAATGAACAATATGTATAAGTATGTATAGCAATTGGACGTGCTGTTTTCAACAATAATTCAAAAATATCACTTTTTACCAAAAATGACAAAAATATTCACCAAAATTAGAAAATTAAAGATATCATTACAAAATGAACAAATCTGAGAGAGATTCACATGTAGTACCTATATATGTAATATCAAAGCAATTGGACTTGCGGTTTTTAACAAGAAGTCGAAAATATCACTTTTTACCAAAAATGACAAAAATATTCACCAAAATTAGAGAATTGAAGATATGATCATGAAATGAAGAAATCTGAGAGAGGTCTATCCAAGGTACATATTCACGAAGTATCAAAGCATTCAGACTTGTAGTTTTCAAGAAGAAGTCGAAAAAGTAAAACATTGACACGGACGCCGCCGGACAATCACTCACATGATAAGCTCCGCTCGACAAAGTCGACAGCGGAGCTAAACAAGCAGCCTCTCGGCTGAGATAGCTCCGCTGTTAGCAAGGCACGTTTCAATTAAAGAACTGAAGACATCATTAGAAAATGAACAATATGTATAAGTATGTATAGCAATTGGACGTGCTGTTTTCAACAATAATTCAAAAATATCACTTTTTACCAAAAATGACATAAATATTCATCAAAATTAGATAATTGAAGATATCATCACAAAATGAACAAATCTGAGAGAGGTCCACATGTAGTACCTATATATGTAATATCAAAGCAATCGGACTTGCGGTTTTAAACAAGAAGTCAAAAATATCACTTTTTACCAAAAATATTCACCAAAATTAGAGAATTGAGGATATCATCACAAAATGAACAAATCTCAGAAAGGTCCACATGTAGTACCTATATATGTAATATCAAAGCAATTGGATTTTTGGTTTTTAACAAGAAGT